AGAAGACAAGAAAAACTTGCCCAGAGTGAACGCTCCTGTATTCTCATGGTTTATCTTACAGACGGTCATGGGTGTTCTTAGTAAAAAAAAGACTGTGTGGAAATATTTTAAAGAAATTCCCTGTGTAAATAAAAAAAATTATTATGAGAAAGAGTTGCAAGGCATATTTGTAACAATGAAACAGTATAAACAGTGCTTTTATTCTGTAGTATATTAAACATTTTAATTGTTGAAATATCAATATTTAGAATGTATGTTAACATATATTAGTAGAAAATTGATTTACAGCAGTTGTTTCAGAAGAAGCAGTAGTGTTAGTGTGAGGGTTCTGGTTTCAGAATCTGGGTCTCTACAAAAACATCCTTAGACTTTGGTAACTTTGTAACAGGGAAAAGGTTTATTGGAGTATTCAACATAAAATCCTTGTCTATGAAACTGTCCCAGAACTGTTCTCCTGCCACCAACGGGTCTGACAGGGGTATCTCACCATTATTCAGGAACGGATTGGTTTCTTCAGGATTCCATGGACCTGGACACCCCTGGAGGGGGTCATCTTTCAACACCTTGGCGTCCTCTCATTCCAATAGGGGAATGGTCTCGTCCTCGACGGCTCTGGTCCACTCGGCATCTCTGTTGTCTGGGAATAAGACCCAGGGTCCCCCCGGAAGTCTCTCCTCTTCGCCTCCTCCACTCTCCATCTCAATTTCTCTTGCTTTTCCCTTTCTACCTTCTCTTTCTCCTCCCTTAGCCACCTCCGCCACTTGCGGGCCTCAGCTTCAACCCAGTATGACGGTCATGGGGGAATCTCTTGCCTCCTGCGGTAGTCGGCCTCCTCCCTGGGCACACAGAGTCGTTCCCACTCCCTAGTCCAAGGTCTTGTGCCCAAATCCACTCCCAACCTAGAGGCAACCCCCTTTCACCCCTCTTTATTCCTGCTGTCCCCAACTCTATCTCCACCCTCTTTTTTCAACCCGTTCCTGCCAAATGGTCTTCTGTTTGAACGGCTACCGTTAACCCGCACATTTTGACTTTCATATCCCAGGTGTTGGTACCCCCTTGTTCTTTCCTAACGGGGTGGAGTTGGTGATGTCTGCATCTCCCTTTCTGTAGTTTGCGGAAGGGACGGCACTCCAGCGAGAGGCTTCTTTCTCTCGCCTTCCATCTCACAGTTAGTCTGTGCTGGCATGTTAGGCCAAGACAAAAAAATGTGGTAGCACCTTAAAGACCCAACTGCTATACAGTAGTACCTTGGTTTACGAAATTAATGCATTCTATGGCAGAGGTCCCCAACCCCCGCTCTGTGGCCCGGTGCCAGTCCGTGGCCTGAGCCGGACTGGGCTGCGGAGAGAGACCTCCTCCCCACAGCCTGTTTGTGCCTGCACGTGAGCCTGCACGAGCACTGCACCACCCTTTGCTTATGCACATGAGTGCTGGCACACCTGCACAAGCACTGTGCTGCCCGTTGCACCCATGCACTTATGCGCGTGCACGAGAGAGAGCGCTCCTTCACACATGCGCACAAGCACAGGGGAGTGCCCCGCTTTCCCCAGCCGGTCTGTGGGGCTAAAAAGGTTGGGGACCACTGTTCTACAGGACTTTATGTAAAGCGAAAACTTTGTAAACCGGAACGCGGATTGCCATAGGAATGGGGGCAGCGCTATAAACCTCCAGGCACAATGCATCCTGGGGAAACTTCCTTTGTAAACTGGAACAAACAAACAAAAATGTAAACCGAGGCATTATTTTCAATGGATTTCCGTTTGTAAACCGAAAATTATGTTAACCGAGGCGTTTGTAAACCAAGGTACTACTGTATTTTAATGTAAGCTTCTTTGGACAAGTCCACATTAAAATATATCAGTTAGCCTTTAGGGTACCACAATATTTTTGATTTCATTTTTTTATTTTGTTTTGTTTTTGCCTAATCAGTTATTTAAGCTAGCTTTTTTGTTCTTGATAATTCAAATCGTGATTTCAGCCATTATTGTAAATTAATCACCCTGTATTCCTCAGTTATATAACAGTGGCTTTAAACTGAAATCCTGTACTACTTGTTTGAGGTTGGGCCCTATTCATTTTGGTGAGATATTTTAGGTATATATAGGATTATACACTCTTAAAAAATCATTTTGACTCCAATATGCTCAGCTTGGATTTATTTGCATTCAGATATCTTGCTGCAGAGGAGCATGGCAGAAGTCTCTTGGGGCTGACATCATGCTAAAGCTGCAGGTATCTTTCCCTAAAGATTCACATGCTGTGAAGCACATTTTATAGAGAATATAATAATGTAAGCTGTCTCATAAGCCACTACCGCAGCCAAGTTTTAAAAATAGACACAATGCAGAATTCCTGTTCAGTGACTTATGTCTGTCACATAATGATAATGGGCAGTTATCCAAGATGCATCTTGCATGCTAGTTAAGGTGTTCATCCACAATAAACAAATAAATAAATATTGGGAAGGAAATTTCAGGGGCCTATATTTTGTTTTATTGTATTTTTGTGCTTTTTTCCTAATTTTGGGACCCAAGGCAGCTCACAAATTATTAAAAGCCAAATCAATTAAAAGCACAATAATTTTTTACATTAGAAGACCATTGAAATTTTGTTACTGTACATTCTTTCACTAATCCTTTTTACTGACTATGTGAAAACTATTTCTAAAGATGGGAAGGCCCTATTTATCTTGGTAAGCACTTGGAATTTTCATCATTACATTGAGACCAACCAACTTGGGTTTCTGAGAAGCTTGTTTTGTTAATTATATAGTGATAGAGTGGTCCTAGAAGGGAATTCTGTTTGTAATTTTTAAAATTAAAATAGAAATGCTTCTCTGCAGAGAAGCATTTCTATTTTAATTTTTAAAATTGTCTGTAATATGTCTGTAATCTTACAGTTCTTTCTTCTCAGTGTTTAGAAGACTGATCATTTGTTATTCTTCTCCCTGCACGAAGAGCTGGAGGAGAGATTTCTATAGGAACCCAGGATACTTGGTTTAGTATTCAGTGTCGGTCAAGCCTGTATTTATGCAAAAGAACCATAATAGTGGAGTGTTGGAATACGGAGATCTGCAGATGAGGTGCAGGCTTGGAAATGCACTGAGTGCCCTTGGGCTACTCACAGTTTCACAATCTGACCTCATCCTCAGAGTACAGTAGTTGTGAGGATAAAATGGGAAGAGCAAGGCCATTTGTACCTCTTAAAGCTCATTCTATAAAAGGCGGTGTATAAAGGTAACAAATACATAATAAATAGAAAGAGAATGCAGGCTGGTTTTCAAAAAATACAATATGCATGTATGTTCAGGAATTTAGTTATGTGTGGTGTTAATGGGTTATTCCCCTTTGGATGTTTTTTAAATCTTATGAATGTGATGACTAGCTGTAGGACATCTGCTGATATGTCCTGTGCATATTTTCTGATCAATAAGTAATTTGTTTTATGCTGTTGCGCACCCCCCAGTGACCCCTGTGTGTTTTGCCTCTCACATAAATTCACCTTTGGACACGACTTGTTCTTTTCACTTTTATTCGCTGCCACCAGAGGATATAATCCTCACTATATCAATTATGAATCTCACACTGTTGCTGCCAAATATAACAAGGTTTATTTATGGAGTATTAAGTAAATCACAGAAGGAAAATCATGGATGTTCTATTCTTACTCATTCAATAAACGTGGATTAGATTACATGTACGCTTGCTTGTATTCATTCACTTTAATCAAGGTCTCAATATTTTCTGACTATCAATGTACTTCTAATTCCTTTTAACTCTTTAATCTTCTCTAACCAACTGTCCAATACCTTACTGTATCTAAACACTCCAGTCTTCTCTCTACTGACTCACTGCCCCACCTTGTTCTGTTGACTCCGCCCCTCCTGTCCTATCATAGGCTCCTGCACTAGAGCTCTAAAATGACTGACAGGAGTGACGTGTGGGCTGTCCGCCACATATGCATTATTATAATGTATGTCTTATCTTACAGTTTCTGGTTAGCATTCCCAGGCTGGCTTACAGATAAATTAAAGTACATACAGTAGTATCAAACAAAAAGCACAGCTCATGATTAAGTCTGTAATCCTTTTTTTAAAAAGTTCACAGCAGTTTAAAATAATTAAAATTGCTAGGATTATGAACTTTGGAAGTGCAATTCTTTTAAATCTTGGAGAATTTTTCGATTAGGAAAACAAATTGCCTTCGGCAAGCCACACAGTCCCAGGGTGCCCTCAGAAAAAGGGAATGGGAAACTATGTCTGAGTATTCTCTACCTAGAAAACCCTGGAATGTACTCTAATGCCATAAATCAGAATTGACTTGACAGCAGATGATGGTGATGATCTGGAACTACCGCCATATATATTCAGGGCCACCTTTTGAGGTGTCAGTTCTTGGCTGGATTTAATTCTTTAGTCAGCCTCTCATTTTAGAACTTCAGCACTCACACTGGCCCAAATCCTATTGTGTAATGTAATTCTCAGCTCATTCTTGGTAAATAAAGAACCCCTGCAGCAGTTCTGAGGGGCACTGTGCATGCTGACTTAGTATGTGTATGCCCTGAAGAACTGCTGCAAGAACTTTCTTTCTTTCTTTCTTTCTTTCTTTCTTTCTTTCTTTCTTTCTTTCTTTCTTTCTTTCTTTCTTTCTTTCTTTCTTTCTTTCTTTCTTTCTTTCTTTCTTCATACATTACATACATACATACATACATACATACATACATACATACATACATACATACATACATACATACATACATACATACATACATACATACATACCCTGCCTATCTGGAGTACCAGACCACTCTAGGCGGCTCTTCATTTACTCTTCATTTACTACTGAGAAATAGACTGGACACATGCCATGCCATTTATTTTTTGTATTTTGTATTTTTCTTTTGTTTTTGACCTGATAGACTAACACGGCTGCCTCTTCTGAAACTACACTTCTTCATCGTGGTCTTCTGTGAATACACACATAAAGGGTTAAGTCAGCGCCAGCGTCGGTCCCTTTCGGAATCTTCTAGAGCTCTGCAAAGGAAACATAGTTAAACATTACCTACACTGCGCATGCTCCGCCCGCCCAAGTCCCAGTTCCATTTCTCCGCTGTGTGAAGTGGTTTCTCTCGTTCTTAGCTCTGCTAAATTTCTCTCTTCGGATCGTTTTTGCATCATATTTCTTCTGGTTTTGATCTCGGATCGTCTACGGACATTGCTATCTCTTTGCGGACTTGTTTGGGTATTGTTTCTTCCATCCCGTTTTACGCTGTTTTTTCCCGCCCTTTTTACCGGCTGTCTCCTGGTCCCTGTGACTCCTGCCTATGCCCCCTCTACCATCTGGACCCTTTAGTCGGTGTGTCGTTTGCTCGGGCAAGATCCCTTTTCAGGACGGGCACGACACGTGTCTTTTTTGTCTGGGTGAATCCCATTCCCCCCAGACCTGCAGACGTTGCCAGGCCTTTACTAAGGCCGCCTTAAAAGCGAGACAGCAACGCCTTAAACTGCACTTGTGGGACTCCACCTTATCGGCGTCCAAGCCATCGGCAATGGAGCTTCCATCTACTGCCTCTGTGCCTGAACCCCAGACTGCATCTCATCCGAGGCTGCTGTTTCAGAGGCGCCTGCTACTAAACCACCTAAGAAACCAGCAAAAAAGCCTTCTTCTAAGGCTGGTCCTACCAAGCCTCCCAAGAAGGCTAAACAACCTTCAAAAACCAAGTTCTCCACTGACTACCTGGAGGCGGTCGGGACTTCTCTCCCGTCTCTGATTCTGGAGGATACGTCCCGGGATAAAGAGTCTGTGTCGGAGGCAGCGACTTCGCTACCTCCACGACAGCCTGAGCCTATTTTACCCCTTGGCGTACAGTCTCCGACGCCAAGTCAGCTTGTCCTTGCAACCACAAGCTTGGGTCTAGCCCCTTTCAGCCCTGTTTCGACCGGGCGGGCTTCTTTGGCTCATTCCGTCTCTCCGTCGCCGTCGAGAGCGAGTTCGCCTCCGGCTAAAAAAACGGAGAAAAGAAAGCATCTTTCCAAGGACCGACGTCGAGTGGCTCATAAAGAATACAGGGATCGTCATCGTAAATCTCGCCGCCGACGCCGATCTTCCTCGGAGGAGTCTACATCCTCCAGCTCCCACAGTAGGAAGTATCGACGACGTCAGAGACGCGACTCTTCCTCTTTTTCGTCTTCCTCGTCCTCCGATCGACGTCATCAACGTCGACGAGTGAAATACGTCTACCTTTCTTCTTCTGGGTCTACTCCTCCCCGCCGTCGTCGACATCGCCATAAGCACGACATCGACAATATCCCTCAACCGACGCCCCTCCCTCTTAAACCGGCTGCTCCACCAGTTCTGCCTGCACCTATTGCCTCAGCAGTTCTGCCTACGCCCACTCTTCCTGCTCCTGCGGTCGAGGTCGAACATCGACCTCGTAAGAGGGCTCATGAATCTTCATCTGATGATGACCAGCCCTTTTCATCTCAACAGTCAGGCTCCGACGATGAACTTCCCCCGCAGCCTACACCTGTTCCTTTGCCAGTAGGGGAGACTGTAGAGTCAGATACTGGAGATCCTCATGACTCCTCCCCCTCTGAGGATTTCTCTTCGTATTCTCAAATGCTATCCCGACTAGCAAAAACCCTTAAACTGCCAGTGGATGAACCTCCTCCCCCAGACATCACCAAGGAGCATACTCCACCTCCTAGTCTTTCCTACTTACCTTCTTTACTCAAAATTATTAAGGAACTATGGGACCATCCGTCATCTTCTATCCCTTTACCAAGGCGTACTGAGAATATGTATAAAATTATTGGGGATGACGCTAAATTTCTTTTGAAACATCCAATCCCCAATTCCCTGATTGTTGAGACCAGCTGCTCAAAGCCTACGGGACGGTCCCATGTCATCCCTACTAATAAGGAAGGAAAAAAGTTGGAAATGATTAGAAGAAGAATCTACTCTTTGGTCTCTTTTCTGCTTCGGGTCGCTAATTATCAAATGGCTCTAGGTGCTTACTAAAAACAGCTGTGGCTTAAACGCCTCCCAGGATTACAGCTGTTGCCTGATGATGTGAGACAGGGCTATCTTAACACCTTTGAAGAGGCTCAAACGGTGTCCAAACATCAGAGGATCGCTACTCGCCACTCTGTCGAGGCCGCGGCTCGTATCCTCGTATCCTCAGTCACCTTACGCAGGCATGCCTGGCTTCGATCAGCAAGCATTCTTGACGATGTAAAGACTATAATTGAGGACTTGCCATTCGATGCCTCTGGTCTGTTTAGTGAAAAGATAGATAGTCACCTGGAAGAATTGCACAAAGTGAAGAAGACTGCTAAATCATATTTTATTCAGTCTCAGCCTAAATTTACCAGATACCAATGGAAAAGACCTTCTAATCAGTTTGGTCAGTCCCAACCATTTAGACAATATAAGCCTCAGTCTCAACCTACATCCTCACAAGGCAATGCTTCTACCTCCACCTACCGCGGGCAGCCTTCTCATTGTCACCAGTCTTACAAACCCCCTACAAAAAACATAAGCAGTACCTTTGACTCTCTGCAATTCCCTCCAACGTTCTCTGCCGACACAAGACTTCATCCTTACCTTCCCAATTGGTCCACAGTTACAACCGACTCCTGGGTCCTTGGTATCGTTCATTCCGGCTACCGTCTGGAGTTTACCGAATATCCACCCTTAGGTCACGTAGAATATACGTATTTCGACCCTTCCTTGCAGGTAGAAGTTCGATCCTTGCTGGAAAAACATGCCATCCAAAAAGTTCCCAAAAAGGACGTTTTCAACGGTTTTTACTCCAGGTATTTCGCCGTGCCCAAAAAAGGCGGCGGAATAAGACCTATCATGGATCTCAGGATTCTAAATACTTACCTTCGTCCCCGCAGATTCCGCATGGTGACCTTAGAATCCATCATACACCTACTAAAACAAAACGACTGGTTTGTAGTTATAGATTTGAAGGACGCGTATTTTCACATTTCGATTCATCCCAGTCATCAAAAATTCCTTCGGTTCATCTTCCAGGACACCATTTATTAGTACCAGGTCCTTCCATTTGGCCTGGCAACAGCTCCCAGGACATTTACAAAGTGCATGGCCCCTGTGGCAGCTTACCTGCGGCTCCACGGCGTCCAAGTCTTCCCTTACATCGACGACTGGCTAGTGGTCGCACCATCCAGAAGCAAGGCTCTACAAGACACAAAATTCACACTTCATGTACTTCGAAATTTGGGACTTCGAATAAACTACAAGAAATCTCATCTTGTCCCCTCTCAGACTGTAGACTACATAGGGGTGACCCTAGATGCGTTAAAGGGTCGCATATTTCTTCCACAAGACCGTATAATGAAGATCCTAAAAGCAGTATGGAAGTTCAAACCAGGTGCCAAGGTGACAGCCTTGCATGCCCAACATCTTCTGGGCCTGATGTCCTCCACAACTCCGGGGCTTGCCCATGCCCGTCTCAAACTCGGGTCCTTACAGTCGTGGCTTCTAGCTCTTTTCGACCCTCTCGCCCATCACTAGCTGCGGCGGCTGAGAGTCACTCCAGAGTTAGCACCTCAACTAAGGTGGTGGACGTTCCAACCGCATCTACAAGTTGGGCGCCCATTTCGTCCCCTCCAACTAACGGTTCGAGTCACCACAGATGCCAGTCCCTCTGGCTGGAGAGCACATTGCGGCCCTCATCGAGTTCATGCACTTTGGTCCCTGCAAGACCGGCATTTTCACATCAATCATTTGGAGATGATAGCCGTTATCAAAGCACTCAAGTCTTTTTTCCCGCTAGTACATGGTCGTGCTGTGCAGATAGTCACAGACAACACCACGACCATGTACTATGTCAACAAACAGGGAGGCACACATTCTCAGTCTCTTCTGTACCTAACAGTCACGTTGTGGGAATGGTGTTACCGTCACCACATATTTCTAGTGGCAGTCCATGTATCCACACAAGACAGTGCTCTTGCAGACGAGCTCAGCCGTCGGACTATTCAGATGCACGAGTGGGAGCTCAATCTGCAAGTGTTTCAAGACCTGTGCCGCCGTTGGGGTACGCCTGTGGTCGATCTTTTTGCACGCATGTCAACGCGAAATGCCCTCTTTTTGCCTCCAGGGCAGGGCGCGGCCCTCGCTCTCTAGGCGATGCCTTCATGATCCCGTGGACCAAGGGTCTCCTATATCTCTTCCCTCTATTTCCCTTGCTGCAAAGGACACTAGTGAAACTTCAACAGGACAGATCAGAGGCGATTCTGGTGGCGCCTCGCTGGCCCAGACAACCGTGGTTTCCCACATTGATGTCAATGTCAGTGGACTCAGTAAAGCTCCCAATTTTTCCAGCCCTGCTCACTCAGGACAAGGGCAACATATTCCACCCAGATTTACAGACGCTCCATCTGACAGCATGGAGGATTTCCCCGAGATAAAGGAGGTTCTCGACAAGTCTAGAAAAGACTCCACTTCATCGCTTTATACATATAAATGGAAGAGTTTTCTCAAATTCACACAGTCTCGGGGTCTCCCTTCCTGCCCGGTTGATCTTTCCACCTTGTTGCAGTTTCTACGTTACTTATTTGACTTTAAGTTGTCTATTTCTACGCTGAAAGTATATATAGCTGCCATTGTTTCTTTCCAGCCGAGGGGCTTGCCGGCCTCTCGTTTGTTCTCACATCCGACTGTGAAGGCGTTCCTTAAGGGACTTGTAGATCTACGCCCACCAGTGAGACCTCTGCTTCCCCAGTGGTCCCTCCATTTGGTACTACAGTCTCTCATGCGACCCCCGTTTGAACCTTTAGCAACCTGTGACTTAAAACCGTTGTCTTTCAAGGTTTTGTTTCTAGTTGCTATTACCTCTGCTTGTAGGGCCAGTGAGTTGGCCGCCCTCTGGGCTGATCAACCTTTTCTTCAATTCTTTCCGGACAAAGTTGTGCTGCACACAGATACTTCTTTCTTACCCAAAGTGGTTTCTAATTTTCATCTCAACCAACCGCTTGTACTACCTACACTGTTTGCTTCTCCTACTTCTGACATAGAACGCATGCTCCACACACTGGATGTCAAAAGGGCCCTTGCCTTTTATGTTTCAAGAACCAAAGACTTTCGTTCCTCTTCCAGGCTTTTTCTCTGCTATTTTTGGGCACAAGAAAGGACTTCCAGCTTCCCCGTCGTCACTATCCCAATGGCTTGTGTCTACAATTTCTTTGGCGTACCAGCTTCCTCACTTGACACCTCCTGAACACCTGCGTGCTCACTCCACAAGGGCTGTTGCTTCATCTACTGCTCTTCTTCATGGCATTGATCTTCCCGATATTTGCCGGACTGCCACCTGGTCTCAGCCGTCTACTTTTATTACCCATTACTGGCTAGATATGAGAGCGAAGAAAGAAACCAGGTTTGGGAGAGCTGTGTTGGCTTCCGCCCTACAGTGACGGCCCTCCTGCCGGTGAGTTAGCTTGCTAGTCACCCTTTATGTGTGTATTCACAGAAGACCACGATGAAGAAAGTGGGGTTACTTACCTGTAACCAGGGTTCTTCAAGTGGTCATTCTGTGAATTCACACATGCCCACCCGGCCTCTCAACTTCCGTCACTGTTTATTAGAGAACTCATTCTACTTGTGGCGGAAAATGGAACTGGGGCTTGGGCGGGCGGAGCATGCGCAGTGTAGGTAATGTTTAACTATGTTTCCTTTGCAGAGCTCTAGAAGATTCCGAAAGGGACCGACGCTGGCACTGACTTAACCCTTTATGTGTGAATTCACAGAATGACCACTTGAAGAACCCTGGTTACAGGTACAGTAAGTAACCCCACTTTTTGCTTGTGATATGCAAAAAGATTTTGGCCAAAGTATTGTGTGCAAGTATTTTGTGTTCAGAGGAAGCAGAAGAGATCATGAATTAATAAAATGTTAAGGCTGCATTTTGTACGTTAATGACATGATGCTTCACGAGATACTGTAAATATTGGAGCCTTATAAGAAAAGTGCACATGCGTCAGTTTCCTTCCTGCGATTCCTATTTGTCTGACTAGTTCATGTCTTGCAGTATCAGTTTTTGGCTTTCCATTGGTAAAACTACTGAAATTAGAACAGAATCATGTGCCTAGTCATTTTATTTCATCACTGCTAGAGCACCCCTTTTCTGTCTTGTCTGATGGCGACCTCTGGTGTTAATGCAGTGTGCTTTTTAAAGAGAGGCTCTGGTCTACATATTTGTAGTGTAAAGAATTGTCATTAATTGGTTGATCATTACCATTTTGGTGTTTGTTTATTCATTCTTGCTTTAAATTTTAGAAAAAGAGAAATTTTGGGAGGAAAGGGAAAGGTGTATAGAGTAAACAAAGTTAAAATAAAAATCCCACACTGCACATTGGGATTAAAAGCCACAGCTAGTTTTAAATATGAAACGCTAATTTAAACTATCAACATTAATGCAAATTAATATTAATTTTTATTTCCCCTCCCTTACTAGGATGGCTCATAAATATCTGGGACAAAACAGTTCCCTGATTCAGGTCAAAAACTAAAATACTGATGAGAGCAAAGATAGTCATATAGGCCATAAAGAAATTAAATTAAAATAAAATAAATGTACATTCATCAGGTCATTCCCAAGAGCACAGTAACGTGAAGGACCTCCAAACAAACTATTGCTGTGACAAGCTTGATTTCTCCTCCTGGAGTTCTCTGATAACTAAAATTACTTCTTGTTGTGGCAGTCATTTCTGTTTAGTTCTTCAAGAGGGATTTGTGGATATGCTTGATTGTTCAAAGTTTCTAAATATTACAGGAGTAAAAGCATCTGCAGACAGGAAGATGCTAAAGCCACTTATGTGCACCTCCATGGGCATCTCCTGTGTTAGGAGGAAGGGGTGGGGGAGGGAAATAACACCATACCTGACTGCAGCTTGCAGCTAAATCAGATAGCCATGTTTTTTTCCCCAAGTTGAAACATGCAGAACAAAATGGCTGCAATTCACATTAGGTGTACAGTACAATGTTGAGGGCTCCTGGTTTTATATTTCCAGACTTCTCTGAAGCACAGTGGTATACTTTGGGTTTTTTGTACAGCAGTCAGGTTAAAGCTGAATTTTTTCCCTGGCTTCCTCAAGTTAGAATTCACTCTGCTAACTTACTGGTCTTTGATCCTTTGTTTTTCATTTCAGGTCGAAAGCTGAGAGGGAAGGCCTTTTATTTCGTTAATGGGAAAGTGTTTTGTGAAGAAGACTTCCTGGTGAGTATGTTACAGCCTCCTTCAGGCTATTGCTTATGCAGGAAAATCTAATGTGGATTTTGGCTAAAGAAGAACTATCCAAAAGAAGATTAGATAGCCCATTCATGGCAGGCCAGGTTATATATACTTTAGCAGCTCTGCATGTAGGTAGATTGATTTTTAAGAGCAGTTGAGGTAAGAAAATGAAAATCTCTTACCTGAGAGGATCTTAAGTGAGGCAATCAGTACCCTGTATCCCCCAAAATAAGACCTAACCTGAAAATAAGCCCTAGTATGATTTTTCAGAATGCTCGTAATATAAGCCCTACCCCAAAAATAAGCCCTAGTTACGTGAAACCCTGCCCTCCACCATTGTGCAGCAACCAGAAGATGACATGACTGCATTTGAATAAATGTAGATGGTTGAACATGACAAAAATAAAACATCTCCTGAAAATAAGCCCTAATGCATTTTTTGGAGAAAAAATTAATATAAGACCCTGTCTTATTTTCGGGGAAACACGGTACTGAGGACTTACTATTCATAATTACAGTGCTGTAATGTTTATGTGTATTATCTATATATACCTGTGCTTACAGGTACAAGGTTTAAGTGCAAGTTACTCTAGTTTTTGGTCCTTTGGTCCAAATCTGTCCCATTTCCCGTAATTGCTTTTATTTTCTTGTCAGTGGGGCATCCAAGGGAATAAATGCTGAATTGGTAAATCTTGTGTGGCCTTTATTTAAAAGAAAGCAACAGGGAAGTCATTAAAGGAAACAGTTTTAAAGCAAACAACATTATAATGGCAAGGCAGTCCTGTCAGTTATTGATCCAATTTTTGTTGAGATGTGCTTTTGATCAAGAAGATTTAAACTATTTTTTTTATTTTTTCCTCTTTATCGTAGTATTCAGGTTTCCAGCAGTCTGCTGACAGGTGTTTCATATGTGGCCATTTGATCATGGACATGGTAAGTTCAGTATGTAGCAAATATTTTTTAAAAAAAAAATAGTTGTAATTTAGAACAGTGTCCAAAGTGAAAAATAAAATGTGCATATAAATGTATTTATCAAGTTACCATGAAGACTTGGTGAAGTATAATCAACAACAAAAATATGTAGATTTTCTATCCATGTAAATAAAGAAAATGAAGTATATCTAGTTGTGTGATTGTTGGAGACTGATGTTGTTAGTGATGTCTGCTGATCTTTTTTAAAAGTATGCAAATGTGCACACCCAGTATTTTGATTTTATTTTATACCGTTCTTATGTTTATGTCACACTGTTCTTCGAAGGACCTCAAGGTATTTATCTTGAGCTTCTTCCCTTTTTTCACTCTCACAAGAATCCAGTGAAACATATTAGGTTGATGGACAATGACTTGCCCAAGGTTGGCGTGTGAGCTTTGTAGACAAGTTGGGTTCTGAAGCCACATCTCCCCAATCTTAATCCAGCATTTCAACCAGTGTGTTGTGCTAGTTATCATAGAACCACAGAGTTGGAAGAGACCACATGGGTCATTGAGTCCAACCCCCTGCCATACAGGAACTCCATCAAATCACTCCTGTCTGATGGCCATCCAGCCTCTGCTTAAAAACCTCCAAAGAAGGAGATTCCACCACACTCCGAGGCAGCATATCCCACTGCCGACCAGTTTTTCCTGAGATTCAGGTGGAATCTCTTTGCCTGTAGTTTGTCCTAGTGTCTGGAGCCGTGGAAAACAAACCTGTCCCTTCCTTGACATGACATCCCTTCAGATATTTAAACATGGCTATCATGTCCCCTCTTAACCTTCTTTTTGTAAGGCTAAACATTCTCAGCTCCCTAAGCTGCTCCTCATTTCTTCATCCAAGTCATTGATAGAGATGTTGAATAGCTCAGAAGAAAACCCTGAGGCACCCCTCTAATTACCTCTTTCCAGGATGAAGAGAAGCCATTGGTGAGCACCCTTTGAGTTTGGTCAATCAACTAATTACAAATTCACCGAAGAGCAGCACTGTCTAGCCCACATTTTACTACCTTCCTTGCAAGAATATCATGGGGAACTTTGTCAAACTCCTTACTGAAATCAAGATATGCTACATCCACAGCATTCCCTTCATCTATCAAGCCTGTAACTCTATCAAAAAAAGAGATCAGATTAGTCTGGCATGTCTTGTTTTTGAGAAACCTGTGTTAACTTTTAGTGATGACAGCATTGCTTTCTAAGTAATAACAAACTGTCTGTTTAATTATTTGCTCTAGAATTTTTCTGGGAATTAATGTCAGGCCAACTGGGCGATAATTATTTGGGTCTTCTTTTTTCCCTTTTTGAAGATGGGAACAACATTTGCCCTCCTCCAGTCTGTGGGGACTTCTCCTGTTCTCCAAGAATTCTCAAATATTATTGCCAATGGTTCTGAAATTACTTCTGCCAGTTCTTTTAATATCCTTGGATGTAATTCGTCTTGCTCTGGAGACTTGAATTCATTTAGAGTAGCCAGGTATTCCTGTACTATTTCTCTACCTATTCTGTGCTGCATTTCCCCCATAACATCACCTGCTCTTTGCCCCTCAGATTGAGCACTGTCTTCCTTTTCAGAGAAAACTGAGGCAAAGAAGGTGTTTAGAAGTTCATCCTTTTCCCTGTCTTCTGTTAGTAGTTGGCCATCTTTTCCATGCAGTGACCCCATTTCCTTGTTTTTCCTTTTGCTGCGGGCATAACTAAAAAAGCCCTTTTAATTGTTTTTAATCTGTCTGGCAAGCCTGAGATCATTCTGCACTTTTGCTTTTCTTACCTGTCCCCTACATATACTCTCTATTGGCTTGTATTCCTCTTTGGTGTTTCCCCATTTTTCCATTTCTTGTACATGTTTTTTTAAACACTTAGTTCAGTTGAAAGTTCTTTAGTCAACCATTCTGGTTTCTTTAGACATCTGTTTTCCCTCTTATTGGAACAGTTTTAAATTGTGCCTTTAGTATCTCCCTTTTGAGAAATTCCCATCCATCCTGAACTCCCTTCTCTTTCAGTATCTTTGTCCGTGGAATTACAGTAATTCCCTAGGTTTACTGAAATTGGCCTTCTTAAAGTCTAGAATGCCTGTCTGACTGCACTTGGCTTCCCCTTCCCACTGTATAACAAATTCCAAGAGAGTTATAACAGTAGTGATTTGCTTTCTTGTCACTTTCTGTGACCATATGTAACTCTGTTTCCCCACACACTTTGAGTAGGTTACAGGGGATGGAGAAGGCTGTTACGTTGTTGGAAGAAATCTTAGGTGATGAATCATAGGAGTTTCAATTGTCTGTTTAATCAACAAAATCTCTACTTTTGTGTATTAGGAAAATATGTTCTTTGGGAATAATCATAATTTGCTTTCAGAGATGATGTAAAGGTAAAGGTTCCTCTTGACATTTAGTCCAATCGTGTCCAACTCTAGGGCACGGTGTTCATCCCCGTTTCCAAGCCACAGAGCCAGCATTGGTCCGAAGACAGTTTCCGTGGTCACATGGCCAGCGCGACTAGACACGGAACGCTGTTACCTTCCCACTGAAGTGGTACCTATTTATCTACTCGCATTTTTATATGCTTTCAAACTGCTAGGTTGGCAGGAGCTGGGACAAGTAACAGGAGCTCACTCCGTCGCGTGGATTCGATCTTACGACTGGCATACCTTGCAGCACAGAGGCTTCTGTGGTTTAACCCGCAGCACCACCACAGCCCTCCAGAGATGATATACAAGTATCTCAACAACCAAGATGATTTTAGAGGAGGCAGCTACCCTTCTTTCTGACAGAGAACAGGGTGCCATCTCTAAAAGGATGCATTTTAGCTTTGCTACTTGTTTTAAAGATAACTGGACAATTTGCTGGTCATGTGGATCCATTTTGTAAGCCTCTCTCCTGATAGCATCTTTGTAGGAAGATATTGCACAGAGACTGCTTCAAGCAGCAGTACACTAGAAGCAGTAATGTATAGATTGTACAGTAGTAGCAGTGGTGATAAAAATGAAAGTGTGTAATTTCTGCTTTTCTGAAAACAACCCATTTAAATCTCATGCAGCTATTTTTTTGCTACTTAAACTTCCAGCTTCCCTTTCACTGCTTACCCTTCTCCTTTCTGCATCACAGAAGATCAGGGGACTCCCACCTCATCATGCTCCTTCAGAATTATAATGATAATAATTTGCTCTCAAGTGTTCATTGCTATCTCTGCCAGCTACTTCTTACCAAATTATCTAGATTGATTATGATACAGGTGTTCCAACATGGTTTTTTAAGCGAACTGCTATAAAGAAGACAGTTTACAAGCTTCCTACACTGTTGCGATCCTGTTGTATTTCATGAAGTCCTCTGTATTTTGCTTTTGTACTGTGTTGTTGTTGTTTAGTCATTGTGTCCAACTCTTCGTGACGCCATGGACCAGAGCACGCCTGGCCTTCCTGTCTTCTACTGTCTCCTGGAGTTGGGTCAAATTCATGTTGGTAGCTTCAGTGACACTGTCCAACCATCCCGTCCTCTGTCGTCCCACATATAGATTTCTCAGGAGATGGATAAGGTGGTCAGGCACTCCCATTTCTTTAAGAACTTGCCATAGTTCGCTGTGGTCCACGCAGCTATGCAGATTCGTCATTAAACGGTGCGCTCGTTAAGCGAGGCACCACTGTAGATGTTTTTCTGGAAATCTCTGGCTTTCTCCATAATCCAGCACATGTTAGCAATTTGGTCTCTAGTTCCTCTGCCCCTTCAAAATCCAGCTTGTACTTCTGGGAGTTCTTGGTCCACATACTGCTGAAGCCTGCCTTGTAGGATTTTGAACTGATAGGTTCAGGGTCTGTGCTTTACTTTAAAGGGTTCTGTGTGAACCAAACTGTTGTATGTATGATTGAGACTAAGCCACGTTACAGTATCTTCTTTACCTGATCATTTTATTTTCCCTGTTTGTTATTTAAATAAACCTTGTTCTTTTGTTTGTTAAAATCCATTCCTGGTCTGTGTGACTTCTTATAGGGAATGGTTGGTGGCAGCATATTTATAGTGTGGCATACTCCAGTAGGTCTGGGGTTGTCACACCTTCATCCATAGTTCTTCAGGCCCTCTGTCCACCAAATCTAGTTCCTTAAATCTGTTCTTCACTTACACTGTGTAAGGGATTTGGTTTAGATTATATCTGAATAGCCCAGTGGTTTTTCCTACTTTCCTCAGTTTAAGTTTAAATTTTGCCAGAAGAAGCTGATGATCAGAGCCACAATCAGCTCCAGCTCTCGTTTTTGCTGACTGAGCTTCTCCATCTTTGGCTGCAGAGAACATAATCAATCTGATTTCAGTATTGCCCATCTGGTGATGTCTATGTGTAGAGTTGCCTCTTGTGTTGTTGGAAATGTGTTTGTGATGACCAGCTTGTTCTCTTGACAAAACTGTATTAGCCTTTGCCCTGCTTCGTCTTGAACTCCAGGGCCAAACTTTCCTGTTGTTCCTTTTATCACTTGACTCCCTACTTTAGCATTCCAGTCCTCTATAATGAGATAAACATCTTTCTTTGGTGTCAGTTCTAGAAAGTGTTGTAAGTCTTCATAGAACTGGTCAATTTCAGCCTCTTCGGCATTGGTGGTTGGCGCATAAACATGGATTACTGTGATGTTGAAAGGTCTGCCTTGGATTTGTATTGAAGTCATTATCATTTTTGAGACTGTATCTCACTACAGCTTTTCCCACTCTTTTGTTGACTATGAGGGCTACTCTATTTCTTCTAAGGGATTCTTGCCTACAATAGTAGATATGATAATTGTCTGAATTGAATTCTCCCATTCCTGTCCATTTTAGTTCACTGATGCCTAGGAATTCACTGTTTATTCTTGCCATCTCCAGCTTATCAAGGTTCATAGATCTTACATTCCAGGTTCCTATGCAGTATTTTTCTTTGCAGCATCAGACTTTCCTTTCACTCTCAGGCGCGTCCACAGCTGAGCATCCTTTCGGCTTTGGCCCAACCACTTCATTAGCTCTGGAGCTACTTGTACTTGTCCTCCGCTCTTCCTCAGTAGCATGTTGGATGCCTTCTGACCTGAGGGGCTCATCTTCCAGCATCATATCTTTTAGCCTTTTGTTTGTGTCCCTTGAGTTTTCTTGGCAAAGATAGTGGAGTGGCTTGCCAGTTCCTGCTCCAGGTGGATTGCGTTTATTCGAAACTCTCCACTATGACCTGTCCGTCTTGGGTGTCCCTGCATGGGATAGCCCATAGCTTCTCTGAATTACTCAAGCCCCTTCGCCATGACAAGGCAGTGATCCATGAAGGAGTCTGTACTGTGTACATGTGTAAATTAAAATGTTTATTCATGTATTTTGCCTTCTGTTAAGATTTTGCAGGCTCTGGGAAAATCATATCATCCTGGCTGCTTCCGCTGTGTAATCTGTAATGACTGTCTTGATGGAGTGCCGTTCACAGTAGACAGCGAGAACAAAATCTATTGTGTCCGAGATTATCACAAGTAAGGAGGAAAATGGATTTTTGGTGAAATTACCAAAGTTAAAAATCTAAATAGCTGTAGGTCTCCTGAAATTAATGGCACTTCTGTCCAGCTAGATCTGGACACTGCTGGTGCCTGCCAATGATGAAGACACCTGGAGAACTGTAATAAAATAATAGGAACTTGCATTTTCATCTTGTTCTGACTCTAGGAGTTTGTACCATCCTTTCTTCCTAGTTCTACCTACAGTGCAGCTAGGAAAGCATAAAAGGACTTCAGTGTGTTTTAAGAGATGGACAAACTGTTCTTACTGCATTGGTCCCACAAATGGTTGGTTTTTAATATGTCTAAACTACATATTTTCTGGCAATATTTGAATGGATTTGCATAAGTCAAAATCTAACTGTAAAGCAGTCTTAATTAAAAAATAACCAAGAGGATAATAAAGCAGTACATATATTGCTGTTGTTTAAATAGAGTAAGCAATATCCTTGATGCTTTTTACCAGGTCTGTGCCCCAAAGTACTTACAATATTAAATATGATACCATGGAGATAACAGAGGAGGGGATAAAAATAGAGATATGTATCTGTTTCAGTGGCACACACTCTTGCTTGAATTGAGTGAGTTATGAGGAGTAGGGAAAAAATGGAAAAGCAAACTGAAGTACAGTACTTGCTACAGATGGATGAAGGAGGAGGATGAGCACAAATGGATATAAGATAAACTTTAGAGAGCAACTTCATATCAAGTGCAGTTGCAGCCCCTGGATTTCTTTATGATGTTTGCACACTGCCCTTCCTCCAAAGAATTTGAGACAACATATTCTCTTTCATGCCCGGTTTTGGCATTCCTGGCTGTTCATAGGTTAGGCTGAGATATCAGCTAAAGCCATCTGAGGAAGTACTAAACTAATAAAGTGTGTTTTAATTCTTTAATATTTAAAATCACAAAATGTGATTTTTAGCATAAATTTCTGGGTTAGCATAAATTGCTGCTATCCAAAATTGAATAGCATACGAGCCCGTTAAAAATGAAGTGAAAGCAATTTAAAGCCTCATAAAAGGGGAAAAAATAGGAATTGTAGTCCATCAGTATCTTAGGGGTCCCAATTCATCATGCCTTCATATTTAAATTTCTGTTCTGTTTTCCTAACTTATAGATCAAGTCTACACCTTCTGAAAAATAATTTGGTAGAGTGGGCCATCACAGACTTGGTTGGGTTGAACAATTGTTAATGCTTCCTGTAGATTTTAAAACAATAGTAAAACAAGGAAAAGCTTCTCTGTCTCTTGGAAGCTGAATTGGTACAAGCCATCTTACAGTCTGGTCCTTGCCTCATTCTACTATGCGTGTAGATCCGACCGTACCTAGTGGCGATCTGTTAACAGACTTCCTAATGCTATAAAGAGAACTACCTATGATGGGAACATTTGGATTTTCTTTCAACTTTATAATTTGCCTTTCTTTCTTTCCTTCATTCCTTCCTTCCAATAAAGAGTTCTGGCACCAAAATGTGCAGCTTGCGGACTTCCTATTCTGCCAAGTGAGGTAAGTAGTCAGATACTTTATTCCTCCCATTTTCCAAGATTGTTGTAACCTGCAGTTGTTTAAACCAGTGGTCCCCAACCGTGGGCCTCCAGATTTTCTTGGACTTCAACTCCAGAAATCCTGGCCAACAGAGATGGTGGTGAAGGCTTCTGGGAGTTGTAGTCCAAGAACATCTGGAGGCCCAAGGTTGGGGACCACTGGTTTAAACCATTCATGTATTAACATGGAGCTTAAAATGTCTTGAAGTGTGGCAACTGATTTGGACTGCAGGCCTCTATCCATCTAAAGGCAAGTCAAGAGAATTAATTATGAAAGTATTGGATGCGGAACAACACAGAGGTTTGAGATACTCAAAAACCTCACAGATTTTTTGTGGAATAATGTGTCATATATATTTGAATTATGTCAGTAAATCTGAGGTTTTGTGTTTTCCTACAACAGATCAACATGGCTACTTCATTGGAAATTGAGCTTGAATTAGTCATGATGTTGTTCCATTGATTTCAGTGGCGAGTAAGCACACTTGCTTCTCATGTTACATCAAAATTGCTGTGCTCTTCTCCATCCCTTTTCTTGCCAGTCTTTGTATAGCAAATTATATTTTGTTAGTAGTATAACATGTTTTGTATCGTAAGCAAATATGTATAGATATGCTTAGTTTTACATAATAAGCTGATATTCCATTACGTATGGTTCTTTCTTTGGAAAGAATGAATATTCCATGCTCTCTCTTTTTATCATTTTCTAAATCATGAAAGCCTTTACTATTGCATGTGTTTGACTGCTAAAGAACATCTCCCCCCCCAAAAAAAAACAAACCTCTTTTTCCTGCTGTTCAGTTCTTTCCTGTAGACTTTGGAGATTTTGTTTCTTAAAGAAGCTGCTGAAAATTTGCACAAATTTTGTTTGTGCTTGCTTTTTCTAGCAGCAAGCATAAATTTGGAAGTTCAACCTTCACTTTATTATAAGAAAGATTAAATGCTCCAGAAGAACCCTGTATTATCCCTCTTGAGATCATTTGCCCTATAAATTTTTTTTAACAGGGATCTGATGAGACTATCCGTGTTGTGTCAATGGACAAAGATTACCACGTGGAGTGTTATCGCTGTGAGGTAATCCTACTATAAAATAATAATACATTATTAGTAGTAAAATAGTATTAGTATTATTAAAATGCTAATATAATTTTAAAAGCCAACTATATTTATAAAATTCATATATTCAACATTCATTAACTTTCGCAGAATAATTAATCACAGGGATTCACAGAAGAGACAATTGTGAATGCACTCTGCTTGTTGACAGGAAAAGAGAGGTCACCATCTTACTCAAACAACATTTTGGAGCAAATAAAAATTTTGACCTTCAGAACTTTTCTTCTTGTATGCATGGTATGAAATTTGGGCAATTGGAGAAGAATGAGGAAGTCCAAAATATCTGACCCATTGTTTTTGCAAGCAGAATGACTTGTAGGATGGAAGTTGCAGATCCAGTGAAAAACAAAGTTGTTGAGGTATCGGTTTAGTTTCTCCCTTCACTATAGACAAAAGCCCTATTGTGCCCCTCATAGATCGATCCATTGACTTGGGTGAGGCACACAGGCCACTTCGTAAAGTGTGAGTAGTAACATCTGGTTATCCACCGAGACATTCCATGGTCCATGGCCAATAGCTGGGAATTGCTTGTGACACTTGCACATCATTGGCGGTTTTGCTCCTACTGGATGAGCTAGCAAAATTTGATTTCACTAAACTGTCTGTGGTGGAAATGGATGTAGCAGGTAATGTTTAGTACTCTCTCATTCTTTCTCCCTAACACATATATGCATAACAGATACATTAAAGTCTGTTTTTCACTTGAGAGTGTCACTTGAAAAAAGGTTTGCATTGTCCATGTTGCATGAGCGTCCTTTGTGATATTGTGGCAAATATTTTTATGCCTGTGGTGGACTTCGGAACCAATTGAATTTTTTTTTGTAAAATAATGCAGGTTGTTTTATTTATTTATTTATTTAACTTATATGCCACCCACTCTACCCAAAGGTCTCTGGGCGGCTTACAACAATTAAAATACAATAGAAATACAATAAAAAGATAAAACAATTAAAATACAATTAAAATATATACTCTAAAAATTGCCAGCAGGACCCACAGTTGATATTATTTCAATTAAAAGCCTTCTGGAACACGAAGGTTTTGACCTGGCGCTGAAATGTCATCAGCGCTGGCACCAGACGAATCTCAGTCGGGAGGGCATTCCATAGTCTGGGAGCAGCTGCCGAAAAGGCCCTTTGTCTACAAGCCATCCCTCTTACCTCCTTGAGGGACGGCTCTTTCAAAAGGGCCCCCTGGTTAGATCTTAACTGCCGGGTAGGCTCATATAGAAGGAGGCAGTCTTCAAGTATCCAGGGCCCAAGCCATTTGGGGCTTTATACAGTGGTGCCTCGCACAACGAGCGCCCCGTAGAGCGATGAATTTGCTCTATGGGGACGTTTTTTCGATCACTAATGCGATCGCAGAGCGACGGCCCCAATGGGCGAAAATCGCAGAGCGAAGGTCGGTAAGCGGTTCGCTTACCGACCTTCGCTTTGCGACCCCGCTGATCAGCTGTTCCACGGCTACAAAATGGCCGCCGGAAGCCCCAAAATGGCAGCGCGCAGCGTTTTCGCACCCTCATTAAGTGAGGGGAGGGCGCAAAAATGGCTGCCGGCCATAGAGGAACATCACTGTACGGTGAGTACATCAGCCGATTGGAACGCATTAAACTAAGTTTAATGCATTCCAATGGCTTTTTTCTTTCCGTACAGTGATGTTTCACACAACGAGGGTTAATCCGGAACGGATTAACTTCGCTGTGCGAGGCACCACTGTATGTCAAAACAAGCACTTTGAATTGGGCCCAGGCAGCAACTGGTAGCCAATGTAACTTAAACAGAATCGGCTTGATGTGTTCCCTAGCGGCCCCACCACTCACCAGCTGCACAGCTGAATTCTGGACCAGTTGCAGTCGCCGGACCGTCTTCAAAGGCAGCCCCACGTAGAGCACATTGCAATAATCTATACAAGATGTTACAGTGCATGTGTAACTGTCATGAGACTCCACTCGTCCAGGTATGGCCATAGCTGGTACAATTTTCGTATCTGAAGGAAGGCGCCCCTGGCCACCAAGTCCACCTGGGCTTCCAGAGTTAGACTGGGGTCCAGGAGTTTATGATTTATATATACAGCAGTAAGACTCCTGGAAGCAAATATGTTCCTTATTTACCCTAACCTACTCCTTTTTTCTCCTTCACTATATAGGACTGTGGCATGGAACTCAATGATGAAGATGGACACCGTTGTTACCCACTGGATGAACATCTGCTGTGCCATGCCTGTCACCTTCAACACATAGAAAAAGGCACAACTACAGTCACTTCGTACCTGCATCACTACTAGGCAGCCCTACCAAAATTTCTAGAAGATTCAGAATGGTATCCAGCAGTTTCTGTTTGGTGCTCAGTTTCTTCAGCTGGCAGTTTGCTGGAAGAGGATGAAGGAAGAAGATACATCCCACTCAGGCAATTTGTGCATAGGAATTGTACACAAAGGATGGTTTTGACCAAAATGTAGTGCAGTAACTTGTACTTTATGTGCCCAAAGGGATACGTTTTCTCCTGAATCATTTTCTAAGTCATTAAATTATAACAATAACAAAGGTGGGCAAATTCAAGATGTCCAAGGGTTGTATGTGTTCACTCCAGGACCTGAAGGGCCTCACTTGATCTTGAGCTTCCCCTTTCCAGAAATAGTTTTCAAAAATTTGTTTAAATAGGGTCCTAAACAACTTCTAATGGCTACATTTTGAATGTGTGGTGGGAGGAGCTCTGGATTATGGTGGGGGAGGAGCAAAACATGACAAAATAGCCTTCCATATCCATAGAGAATATAAAGGCGCTTTATGAGACAAAACAATGTTTTATTTAAAAAAAAACTGGGGGGTTTGAATGTGGGGAGAACGGTGCTGGAGAGCTACACCTTACCTACCCCTGCTCTAAAGGCTCCTTTTAGAGTTACTATATAAAAAGCCTTTCTTTCTAATATAGTGGCCTGTTTTTGTGGTCTAAATTTCCAATCATGGAAGCACATCTCCACTATGCTGCTCCATGTCTGAGCAAATCTCATTTTCTTCCCCAGAAATCTACTGTGTTTTCCCTATTTGGGGAAATATTATCAATTCTGCATTTTTAGCCCAAATGGTGATTGAGAGATAATAACATCCCCCTCTCCCTCATTCTGTTGAGACACTGCATACTGAAAAAGGCACAACTAGTGGCAGCACTTATGTTACATTCAGGTGAGAAGCCAAATTGAGTTCTCAACATTCATCTTAGAAACCCAGTTCTCTTAACCTTTTGCCAAAGGCTGGACATCACTAAAGATACAAAACAGTAGTCAGAATAACTGAAGAGCACACATTAAGACAGTTTATGCAGCTTGCAGCTCTTTCAAGACTGTGCTTATTTTAAGCACTTGCAACAACTTGAGATTGGATTTATGTGTATTGCTTTAGGCTCTTTTCTACCAGCCATTGATTATGTGCAGTGACAGATAATTCCTTTCATGAATTGGATTGTCTGTGCTGTGTGTCTAGGAAAGATAAAACATGTTTGTGCCTTTAAACTCAGTGCCTTATAAATCATAACCTCTACAGTTAAGTGTGTATTTAAATATCATAACAGGCTTTTGAATATTTGTGTATGTCTACTAATACAGATGATAGACTGAAGCAGATGAACGTTAATTAAAATGTTTGCCCCAGATATTTTATTTGTTGATTGTCCCAATGGAATCCAAGCTTACGGAGTGTCAATAAACTAATTCTGCATCTGCAGAGAGATGTGTGTTCAACTTCTGAGTACTGTAGTCTGTTGTTACTATAATTAAATAGCTGTTTGGTCTTTAGCTGGTAAAACCTTTAGACGGCTCATCTATAAGTAGGCCATTTTCTGAAGGTTTTTGTGTGTGTGCTGCATTACTAAATTTTACTGGCAACTTATGAAGTACAGGGCTGTTCAAAACAGTCTTTAAGAAACAGAGGCATTAAAATAGCCAAGACTGCAGTTCCTAGCAGCAGTTGACTTAAGACAGCACAGGCAGGAAGCGCAAAATGCTGTGTAACGATTCTGGACTGAAAGATCTCTACATGGACATGATTTATAGCTGTAGTTAGTCAAAAACCTAGTTTTGAAGATTACCAGTTCACACCACACACTTGGCCGTCATTATGTAAAAGTCAGACACAGAAGTCAGTATTTAGAAAAGATTGGACTTTTATTGTTGTTGGAGTACACCATATGTTGACTTGGGAATGCAACTGCTTTGCACAGCACTGGAATACAGGTATTTTTCAACCCTCACGCCTACAAAAATTCTGTTCTGTTCCAGCAATGCCACCTATCCAACTTAGCTTTTTTGCTGCAACTAGTTCTTAATGGGAAATGTGCCAGAGTTACCAAGCAACATCAGTTGATGATGCATAGCTTTCTATATTCCATGCATTTACATGAATGGCTTGGATTTTAATTTTAAAACTTGACCGGCTGTTCTTTCTACTACATTTATAAAGCAAACAGGAACTGCATAGATTACAAATGACTGTGAGAGGAAAATAATTTAAACAAACCTGAAGAAGCTCTCAGACATTCTGAGGTTAAAATGAATAGCTGTTATTTGCAGAGACGGTACAAATATATTTGAGACACCAGGAGATGACTAAAGCCATCAGTTGTGTTTTTAGCTTGGGGTGTCAAAACTGTATTAAACTAGCTGTCTACATATTCTCTTAACATTTAAATTCATAATTGCAATCTTGAATAATATACTTTTAATGACAAGAAATATAATGCACTGCACCTGAAACCAATTCATGTCCGGTTCTGAACACAAGTGGTTAGAAAATGGATGACAACATTGTTTAAAATTGGTCCTTGATTTAGATCTAGTTTTAATATAAAGCTCAGAAGCACTGAAGTTGAGACACACACTTATTTTTAAACAGTACAAGGCTATTCTTATAGCTTAGTCATTTTCAGAGAAAATTACAATTGTGAGAAATATAATTAACGGCATGCACAAAAAGCAAGCTGATGTTGATCCCGAGTGCAATCATGGAATTTAGCCCAAGAAAATGGATCAAATCTGTATTCTCCACAGATCATATCTATTTAAACCAAGGCAGCATTAAATAGCTGCTGGTTTGCCAATTTAACAAATACCTTTCTACATATGAGCCTCTTCTGAAACAAACAAATACTTTGGACCTTTAGCATAAGAGGGTTCAAATAAGCAATTTTACATTCTTTGATTCTGTTTACATCTTTTAAGAAAACACTATGATTTGAAACACTGAAATTTGTCATCTATATCTAAGGACTGTAGTCATAAAAAATAGTGTGAGACATGTTCCAGACTAAGTCATTTTACACCTCATCCTCCCAACAATGATTTAACAGAATATTGCATCAATATGTAGCAGGGCTGGCCAGAGAGACTTGCCTTTTGAAAAGAGGGGAGAGAAACTCACTCTTTTTCCACTTAGAAAAATTCAAATGCATATGGAAAAAGGGAAGCAGAACATACAACCCTGCACTTGCTCTCTTTGATTACAAGGGCACTCAACTAAAAGTTTAATTAAGCAGCAATACTTATTTCTGTTACTGTTAGCAAAGCATTAACTAGTATCAAGTAATTTAACTTAAACCTATTTTGGTATATCCAGCAGCCGTTGAATCTCTTAATATGTCAGAAGATGAGCATCTCCTTTGAAAGACTTAGTTATCTGAAAGTTCTTACAATGCTGCACTGCTGGACTGTAAAACCTGGTTGATACTCTGTAGGGTCCACAGTGCTATTTGGCTTTCACCTCCCTAACCCTGTGTGTGGAAACTCCAGTAAATGCAATACTCCTCAGATCATTGTGATAACAGAACCAAAACAGTAAATCTCCATCAAGTTACAAGCTGGAGTCACTTTTTCACCCCCAAAGATGAAAGCTAAGAAAAAGGCCATGGGTTGGTGTGGAAAGCAGGTCAGTAGAGACTCCAGGTATGGCTTAAGGAGTCATCCCTACCAAGCCGTTTTCCACACACACAAATTCAGTCCATCTTCTCCTTCTGGACTAGTTTGGGTGCATCCACAAAATCCTTGCCATTGTAAAGGATGATCGCAAGAGTCCCAAAGCTTGCACTTCCCCAGAACATCACATAGGCCAGTGTCTCTGTCCATGTGTCACCTATGGAACATGATAAAATAACTTTAAATTACACATAACAAATACGTAGGAATCATAATACCAAGGCAAGAAGCAGACGTCTGCTAAAAACCTATTTTGAATATTTCAGATTAATGAACAAGAATAGAATGTTTTTCTGTGTAATGCTTATAGTCTGCCAGAAACTGGATAATTTTCATGATGCTAGTTAAAAGGATGTTCTTATCTATACACCACAAAAAGTTGGCTTCTCAGTGCTGAGTGGGATAGAAGAAAGCATATGGGAGGTATTGGAAACACACACACACAGCACAGGCATCCTTCAGTCTCGAGAGACTATGGTAGCAGGCTCTGAATCGAGGAGTGTTCTCTCCAGAGCATGAAGCCTGGGTAAAGTAATATGGAGGATAGGCTGTTACCCAAGCAGCAGATCCCCCCTCTCCATGTTGCTGAAATGGTCCAATGGAAAGGCACGAGCCAATACAACTGGTTCCAGCAACGTCGCAGGAGTTGGCAGAACGACATGAACTGCCTTCAGGATTCCAGCTCCGGATTTTGCCTCTAGGTTAACTCCTGAAGCCTTTACCATCAGTGGATATAGCCACAAGGCAGTGGAGGTTTGAAATCAGAGTTTTCCTTCTAGATGGGCTGCCTTCCATGGCTGACGAGCCCCACCTACCTGGCCTCAACACACTTTAAAAGTGTGTTGAGTGTGCGTGAGAGAGACACAGAGATCACAGCAAAAGATGGGAATGTAGCTGGGGTCATGACATGGCAGAAGACATTATGTACTGCTATTTATCGAATATGTCATTTTACCTTAAGGGGATGTGTATTTAACTGTTACTGCCCTAGGTGTTTAGCTAATAAATACAGTCAGTATTCTCTTCAATATTTATATGTGCAGAACTCTAAAAGTAGAGGCTGTGCTAGAGTCTGATGAAGTGCTAGTTGTATACCTGGTTGCATATACAACTGGCACTTTATTAAATCGAAACAGCAGATTCCATAGCTAGAGCTTTGCATGAGTGTAAATGCCAGATATTTTTATCCCTGTTCCACTATATGCCTCATACCAAAGGGATACCAGATGATGGGACTCCAATTCCTACAAGCCCCAGGCAGCATAGCACAGAATGATCAGAACTGGAGGCTCATAGGTTACACATATATGTCTTCAAGTTAGTAGGCATCAATAGCAGAGTGTTATGTCCCAAAATTGGTACTACTGGTTACAAGAAGCTGCATACCAAGAACAGACTGCTATCAGAATTGGCTTTAAGGGAATATATAGTTTTGACACAAACTACAAGAAACAGTGCATTGTAGAACAGACTTGAGTTAAAGAGAAATAAATGCCTTCCAGGGAGTCAACTATCTGAAAGGAGGATTGTTCAGGTCACGGGATTCTGCTTTGTGCCCCTTAAACCAAATCAAGAGAGATTTCAAGCCAGACATCAAAACATACCTATAGAAATGTCTGCTCTGGAAATCTCCCTCTTTATCTTTCCCCTTACAATTGTCTCATATTCTTCAGCAAACAGACAATGAGCAGTACAATGTTTTGTTCTGAGACATTATTTGATAGTGTAAGTCGAACAGTCAATAGCTTCAGTTCTACCAACAAACTGCCAATCATGAAAGTAACATCATCTCTGCAGTAATTCAAATCCAGATCCTAAATTCTGAGGAATCTGGAATCATAGGCTACCAATGCTATGCCTTTTATGCATGCACTTCTGGTGCTTTATACTATTTTTACTCCTGCTCTGCCCTTGAAACACACAAGGGTTGGCCTGCAAAGTGGCTGCTTCTGCCTTTGAGTAGTGAACTTGTTTAGATTGCCTTCCAGCTGTCCCATCCATTCAGACTATTTTATGATGATCTGAGGAAATTTCATGTTCTTGGTCCTCCACAACATTATGTCTTCTGTGGTACCTGTCATATACTGAAACACTTCGATTTCTCATCAATACACTGCTCAAGATCTGGTCTTGAAAATACGAAGCTGCAGAAGCAGCAGTTACAAACATCTCTTATTCACCTACAACAAGCTTTTGGAACTAATTATGTATAATATACCTTACACTCACAAGCTGAGTGATCACTTACCAGCCATAAGCAAACAGATAATGCACATTGAGAAAGCAACCACCATGATAATAGGCAACTGAAAAAGAAAGAAACAAAATTAAGAGACGATTTGTAATATGTGTTTCAGTTACATGTGACGTACTGAGTATGACTAACAGGCTAGTAGTACATGGGCACATTTAATGTCCTAATTTAACCAGTAATAGCTCAAGGAACAATTCTCCACACAATCTGCTTCAGAAATGCTTAATGTACAAAGAATCACTCAGCACTTTACAGATGACATACGTTTCTCATAAGTTCATAAACTTCAGCTAGCTCTTTTATTGGATACAATCAACTTTATTCTAAAAAGCTTAATGCAGTGTAATAAATGTGTTAGCCCCTAAAATGTGACTGGGATCCTCAAAGAGTGTAGCAAAAACTGCATCCAACTTAACTTTCTTGCATATATATTAATTCTGTAACCACAAACCCCTTTGACTCATAACAAAGGAACAAGAAATGAACAAGGAATTCTCATGACATACACACATTCTCAATGGAAGCCCATTAGTTCTAGGAGACTCAGATAAACGCCAGGAATCTGTCAAAGAGAGAACCCAGGCAAATGGGTTCCCAGAATGTTACCAGTACAGTTAACAGAAGATAATTTTAAACTTTGGCAAGGAATAATTAATAGATATTGTAATGAAGGGAAGAAAGTCAGAATAAATAAAAAGTATTGATATAAAACAACAAAAAGGAGGTATAGGCATACCAAATATTAAAAAAAATATTATATGGCTAATCAGTTGAGGTTCATTGGGGAAATTATATATAACCCAGAAAGGTTAATTTGGTGGAAAATAGAATAATCAGGACTACAGGTTGATATGGAAAAACATCTATTTGGTATAATTCAAAATATAAGTTAAATTAATAACCTCTTTTTAAAGGCTATGTTAAACATCTGGTACAAATATGAAGAACTGATGCTTTTAAATTGTGCTGCTGGAGGAGACTCTTGAGAGTCTCCTGGACTGCAAACCTATCCATTTTGAAGGAAATCAACCCTGAGTGCTCACTGGATGGACAGATCCTGAAGCTGAGGCTCCAATATTTTGGAGATCTCATGAGAAGAGAAGACTCTCTGGAAAAGACCCTGATGTTGGGAAAGTGTGAAGGCAAGAGGAGAAGGGGACGACAGAGGACGAGATGGTTGGACAGTGTAACCGAAGCTACCAACATGAATTTGACCCAACTCCGGGAGGCAGTGGAAGACAGGAGGGCCTGGTGTGCTCTGGTCCATGGGGACACGAAGAGTCGGACACAACTTAACGACTAAACAACAACAACACAGTACAGAAGCAAAATACAGAGGACTTCATGAAATACAACAGGATCGCAACAGTGTAGGAAGCTTGTAAACTGTCTTCTTTATAGCAGTTCGCTTAAAAAACCATGTTGGAACACCTGTATCATAATCAATCTAGATAATTTGGTAAGAAGTAGCTGGCAGAGATAGCAATGAACACTTGAGAGCAAATTATTATCATTATAATTCTGAAGGAGCATGATGAGGTGGGAGTCCCCTGATCTTCTGTGATGCAGAAAGGAGAAGGGTAAGCAGTGAAAGGGAACCTTTCTTTTTTTGTCCTTCTTTACTGGAGAATAATTATGCACAGCCTGATCAAATCCTCATGACTGCCAGGAGATTTGACAGGACAGGTTCCTCCAATAATAGCTAAAAGCAAAAGGAAGGATGTTTCAGTGACATCACTGGCAGAGCTATTATAGCGGTATCACTGGCAGAGTTTTGGCGATCGCAAAGCTCAAGTCCTTTCCACGGGCCTTTCCTATATCAGCTACAGGCACTTTGCACTCTTAATGCTAATGCTGATGAGAAATTTATGAAGAACTTCACTTAGCCTCATTTCTTCTTCACACAGATATCTCTACTCAGAATTGCAGCAATTATGAGTGCATTTCAACTTTCAGCAGCCACTAAAAGTGCTGATAAGATTTCTTTTTTATCCTTCACATATTCAGAGATGAACAGGTGGGACGAGGGTAGGAAGCCGCCAGTGGCCTCACTTCTGATTCAATTTCCCTTGTGGGAGACTGTCAAGGCCCTCCTACAAAGCTGACACAGCACCATGAAGGGCTCCTGCTACAAACACAGTATATGGAACATCACCAAAAAGCAAAGAAGCTGCATTTTGTGTCAGGGCGTAGCACTTGGCATTCAGCACCTCCGCACCTGCCAGAACAAACAAGCCTGGAAGCCACAGTTAACCACCACATCTTGTTACAGCCAACAGGAACCATGTTTAATGCTTCGAAAGAATCTAGGCTGTGATACAATTGTTTTATCGTTGGTTTCTAAATCCTGACTTGCTGGAGAGCATTAGCCATATTTTTCAGGGTAGACATAACAAAGTGATAGTTAACTGCTGCTTCTTGGTTTATTTGTGCTAACAAAGCAGGAGCTACAGCGATCCATTCTTCATTCTAGTGCACAGTATGTGCATATCCCGGCTTGTTAAGGCAGGAACTGAAAAGCCATACCAGGCCACCAAGTGATCTGGAACAAGTCACTTGTCTCTCAGAAGTTTCCATGCACCCAAACATCACACCATGAACTCCCTGGAAGAAGGGTAAGATGCCACCTAGCAGATACGGGACATATTCTTTTCCTTCCAGCTCAAGAGATAAGTCCTGAAAAATGCTATATTTTTAAAAAAAGACAAGCTTTAAAAAAAGACATATGATCCCCAAAAGTTACTAATACAAGCTTAACTAAATGATTTTTTTTAAATCTTGCAAAAGTGGTAAATATTAGAAAATCCTTACAGCCAAAAATTTCCAATCCTTCTGTACATGGAAAGGACTGAGAGAATCTACTTCATCCACAGAATAGTTTCCAAGAAACAGATCAATAGCATCCTGCAAAACAAAACAGAAATCAGTGGTTTAGAGTTAGCCCCAGGTTATCTTGTAAAGAATCTCCCCCAACACTCTCCCTCTTCTTGCTCCCTCCCTCCCTCCCTCTGCTATTGCCTACACCACTCACAAGAAGCCAGAAAGAAGCAGTGGCTGGAGTGCTGAGGCTGCATTCAGATGTGATAAACCCAGGCCCAACTCTATTCACTCAGTATCACACAGTGTGGCCCACTTTATAAAGTAAAATGATACCACTCAGCAAATGCCACCTGCTGTGCCCTACAGGAAAGGCAGAACAAACACACAAATGCTTCTCCCCACTTCTTCCCATCTTCCGCTCCTTTGCATTCTAGCACAAGCCCAAGCAGTACACAGTCCTTCCGCTTGCTCTTTCACCAACCTTCTTTTCTGTCTGCAGTAAACTTCCATTTGCTAATATGTTAATCCACACATCTCTTCTCCTGAAGACATATTCCTTAGTACAGTGGACCCTCTACTTATGGAATTAATCCGTATTGGAACAGTGGCTGCAAGCCGAAAAGTCTGTAGGTCGAATCTCCATTGACCTACAATGCATTGAAAACCGATTAATCCCATAACTGGCAGTTTTTATTCTATTTTTGTTCCATTTTGGTTTTTTTCTGGTCTGTAAGTCGATTCTCCGGCTGCAAGTCAAATCTAAATTTTGCGGCCAGAGAAGTCTGTAACTCGAAAAGTCTGTACGTCGAGCCGTCTGTAAGTCGAGGGTCCACTGTATCTTTCCTGAACCACAGTGTCCCCTCCCTCCAGCCACCATCACTCACTAGAATGCCCTGCCTTGCCTGTCTTGGATCGAAAAGCCCCACAAACCCTGGATACAGCAACTATGTAACTTTTCATTGGATCCAACACACAACACGTTGCCAAATAAAAGCCCAATTAAAAGTAGCAACAGTGAAATACAAGTTCTTACCTGCCTAAATCCATCAGAAAAATTGTTTTTGTAGTAACGAATTAACGAGTTCCAACCATCCATAAGTAAGCCCCATTGAGTTCTTTTTCCAGTTCTGATTTAAAAAATAAAAACAAACAACCACAATAAACTTCAGTATTACCAAAATATGGTAAAACATATCCAAAGAGGAAATTAGAAATTTAACCCCAATGTCTAACACTTAAAGACATAGCAGCAGATCTACAATGGGGCTCCTTGCATGTCATCCATTTCATCACTGTGCAGAATAAGCAAGTGTGGAACTACTCTGACATTGATGGTTGAAAACATAGGTTTTGGGTCCTCTGGGTTATGATATCTTCTCCTCTTTCACCCCCATTAAGAGGTTCTTTAATTCCTCCTCACTTTCTGCCATCAGAGTGGTATCATCTGCATATCTGAGGTTGTTGATATTTCTTCCAGCAGTCTTAATTCCAGCTTGTGATTCATTAAGTCTTGCCTTTCGCATGATGTATTCTGCATACAGTATAAGTTAAATAAGCAGGGAGACAATATTCAGCCTTGTCATACTCCTTTCCCAATTTTGAACCAATCAGGTGTTCCATATCCAGTTCTAACTGTTGCTTCCTGTCCCACATATAGATTTCTCAGGATATAGGTAAGGTGGTCAGGCACTTCCATTTCTTTAAGAACTTGCCATAGCTTGCTGTGGTCCACGTAGTCAAAGGCTTTTGCATAGTCAATGAAGCAGAAGTAGATGTTTTTCTGCAACTCTCTGGCTTTCTCCATAATTTATTTATTTATTTATTGGACTTATATACCGCCCCATAGCGCTACAAGCACTCTCCGGGCGGTTTACAATTTTAATTATACAGGCTACACATTGCCGCCCCAGCAAGCTGGGTACTCATTTTACCGACCTCAGAAGGATGGAAGGCTGAGTCAACCTTGAGCCGGCTACCTAGGATTTGAACCCCAGGTCGTGAGCACAGTTTTAGCTGCAGTACAGCGTTTTAACCACTGCGCCACGCATGCTATCCAGCGCATGCTAGCAATTTGAGTGTTTGTGATGACCAGCTTGTTCTCTTGACAAAACTCTATGAGTCTTTGCCCTGCTTTGTTTTGAACTCCAAGGCCAAACCTACTTGTTGTTCCTTTTATCTCTTGACTCCCTACTTTGGCATTCCAATCCCCTAGAATGAGAAGAACATTTTTCTTTGGTGTCAGTTCTAGAAGGTGTTGTAAGTGTTCATAGAATTGGTCTGTTTCAGCCTCTTCAGCATTGGTGGTTGATGCATAAACTTGGATTACTGTGATGTTGAAAGGTGTGCCTTGGATTTGTATTGAAATCATTCTATCATTTTTGAGATTGTATCTCACTACAGCTTTTCCCACTCTTTTGTTGACTATGAGGGCTACTCCATTCCTTCTACGGGATTCTTGCCCACAATAGTAGATATGATAATTGTCTGAATTGAATTCGCCCATTCTGTCCATTTTAGTTCACTGACGCCCAGGATGTCAATGTTTATTCTTGCCATCTCCTGTTTGACCACATCCAGCTTATCTAGGTTCACAGATCTTACATTCCAGGTTCCTATGCAGTATTTTTCTTTGCAGCACCGGACTTTCCTTTCACTTCCAGGCGCACAACCACTTCATTAGCTCTTGTCCTTGTCCTCCACTCTTCCTCAGTAGCATGTTGGACGTCTTCCAACCAGAGGGGCTCATCTTCCAACGTCGTATCTTTTAGTTTTTGTTGTTGTTGTTGTTCATGGAGTTTTCTTGGCCAAGATACTGGAGTGGCTTGCCAGCTCCTGCTCCAGGTGGATCGCGTTTAGTCAGAACGCTCCACTATGACCTGTTCATGTCCGTCTTGGGTGTCCCTGCACAGCATAGCCCATAGCTTTTCTGAATTACTCAAGCCCCTTCACCACAACAAGGCAGCAATCCGTGAATCCCATGTACTACAACAGCTAAATGCTGTATTGTTCGCTTAATAAGATGCACTCCCCCCCCCCCGGACTTCCGGGTTAGCTGCGCACCGAAACAACCGC